GCATCGTGGATACAGGCCTTAAAGCCTTGTGTGTCCACGATCCAAGAACTGTGTCCAAGTTCTAGTTCCGAGAAACGTGTAGCCAATCAACTTGCAGCTATTCCATGAAAGCTAGACTAACTAGACTCGGACACAGTTCTTGGATCGTACGCACAATCTTTACGGATGTTGACAAGGCTTAAGACGCAACGCGCAAACAGCTCGATTATCACCTGAACTGCAAAGGAACTGAACTATCAGCTACATTTCTCATTCTGCCAAACGAATAATACTCTGGTATTTTATTTTCACGGCAAAAAAGAAAACGGGTTCTGTCTACACAAAGTCTCAACCTTCCGACTACCGCGAAAGCCCCACTTACGTATAAGCTCTCAAGTCCCGATATTCCGCGCGAATGTGTACGTCATTTATAAATTTTGGGGAAAAACAGCGCTATTTTATCGAACACATGCCAGCAGCCCGAAGGTTAAGACAGAAGGGCGTAATCGAAGCGTTTCCTTTGCTACCAAGGCAAGTCCTCGGGCGCGCCCGCGATACCTTTTATCGCGGCGCGACAGCGGGACGGGCGGCACGGGGCGCCGCGGCTCTCGCGCACGGCCCTGGCCGGGTGCCCCCGCCGCGCCTTCCGTCGCCGCGTGCGACGCGACGTTCGCCATGCTGTACGTTCGCCATATCGTCGGGAGACTCCGGTGCGCTGACTGGTGAATTACGGCGCGGTTTCGTTGCTGCTCGCACTGAACGGTCCTGTCGATCCGACGTCCGGCGACCTGACGACCCGTCCGAGCCGCGGGCCCCGCGGCACCCCATCGAATCACGGTGAGTAGAACCGGCCGACGTAGCGGGCCGTAGGGACGAAAGTTGGTGACCGAGGGGCGCGATCAGCGATTCTCGACCTTAGGTGGCCGCCGCGCCGCGCGCCGCGGCTGCACCTTCTGCACTCCCGCGCGACACCTCGGCACGCCGGGGGCTTCCCCCGCGCGCGCGACACGCGGACGGAGGAAGCGCATCCCCTGGAGCTCGTCCTCCTAGTCGCGCCACGTACACTCCGCTCCGCTTCCTCTCCCTCGCCCCTGGAGCGGGTGCACTCGCTCGCTTCTGTCCTGGGTGCAGAAGGCGCAGCTGAACATATGGGCGTCTGTTTTTCTTTTAACGCGGCCGCGCTCTCTCGCGCTCTCGGAACCAAGTCGGTGTGTATTTATTATTTAAAGAGGGAGGGAAACGCGGTAAAATTGAAAGGAGACTAACGCTTGGGAATTGTCAAAAGTTACGAGCAAAATTATCATTGGCTTCTGAGAAGTAGATCTGTCTTGTGTACGACGGTAGTCTCCAAATCTTGTTTCTTGAAATTTATGTGATTATTCTGTCCATTCTGAGATATGTTATCTTGTCGTGACAGGAAACTATTGTACAAATCGAGATATAACATGGAGTTGGAAGACAATAAGGAAATAGCGAGAGCTAGTACACAGGCTGCTGCTGTTGCTGCTGCTGATAAGAGCAAAGCGACTAAGGAGCCGGAAGTAACAAATGCAGAGAAGGAGGTAACATTCTAAATCATTGCGTTGCATCTATTTCTACGTGCAAATTTCACTTTTCTTCGAAAAGAATCGCACAAAACTTGTTTATAGACGTTAATCTTTTGATACCTAACTTCCCGATACATTTAGATTTAATAGATTTTATTAGACAGTTTTCGGCCATCTAAAATTGACAATTCGCCTGATTCACCCTCGTTATAGGAACGCAAGAGCGCCGGCAAGTCGAAGAAGCTGGTCGCGAAGACGAAGATGAAGAAGGCTCGGAACGTGGGTCAGACGAGTTACGATCCCACGAAGCTGGAGGACAGTCCGGCCCAGGTGCTGGAACGCTTCAAGAGAGGCTGCGAGTGCGTCGACGATCAGTGCTTCAAGGACCTAAACCCCGAGGTGGTCTATCGGCACAGACTGAATATCGCGGAGCTGACCAAGGCCGAGCACGACATGTATCTGATGGGCGTGACGATGGCCTGCCTGACGGACCCGTATCAGACCGCCCGGCACACGGAGCGACGTAGATTACGGGCGCAGTACGTCTATCAGGGTCGCCGAGTTTGCCTGGACGCTTTTCTGTACCTGGAGAACTGCACGCATTATCAGATCAAGCGGATCCGGAAGCACTTGATGACGCACGGCGTGACGCCGCGCGTGCACGGCAATCACGGCAAGGTGCCGCACAACACGTTCTCGCTGGACATATACAAGATCGCGACGGAGTTCCTCAAGAGCTTCATCGAGCTGCAGGAGACGAAGCAGAAGACCAAGCTCGCCAAGAACGCACCGTTGCACTTGCCGTCGGACGTCACGCGGAAAACGGTGCACGACTTGTACACGCAGTACTGCAAGAAGGTGTCGCCCAACGTTAAGAGCATGGGCTACTCGACGTTTCGGCGTTTTATGAAGGTGCAGTTCCCGCAGGTCAAGTTCGCCAAGCTCGAGTTCGTCGTGAGGAATCAGGGCGCTCAGAATCACGGTACGGCCGAGCCTGACGCGAGGGACGACACGGGCCAGCGGAAGTCGCCCAAGTCGGAGCCGGAGGCGAAGGGTGGCGCGATACTGCCGCTGGTGATAACCGGCGCTCTAGGGCAGGGCGAAACCTACGTGCTGACGCCTATCAGAAAGTTACAGGACTGCACCATGAGTTACCAGGTCATCCCGCGCGGGCTGATAGTCAACAGTCCCGCTATCGCTCTGTCGAAAACGAAAGCGGTATAACTGTGGCGGACTGCGAAAGGAAAATGAGAAAATACTTTTGTACAAATGATGTGCATGTATATACATATGGATGCGATAGATGCTTGCTCCATAAGTCTCGGATTTCTCGACAAGTGTTCCCCGTTTCGAATTCTAGATCATGGTTACATATAATATATGAGAAATGTGTACGATAATCCCTTGATAAATATGAACCGTACAAAAGTACTTGTGCTGTATTACGTGCAGTTTTGCTAAAATATATCTTTCGTTGCGCCGCCTTGATGAATAAATAAATTACGTTCCGCTAGAAACGATAACTGCACGAAATATTCTTACGACCAATAAAAAGCATTTAGCCAAACGTTTATAGATAATATATTCGTAGATAAGACTTATACATATATATCGTAATAGAAGCGGGGCGAATGTTAATTGTACGAATTATATTTGTTAAAAATATGTATAGTCTATCTTATTTCCTACAATAAAACTTTTTTCTTTGAAACTGTACAGTGAAATTTTCATTTCTCGCGATCCTCCGTCATCGCTCTTTTGCACGTACGAGGAGTCCGCCGATCCAAAAGTACGGAATCCTGACATTTCTTATCTTCCGCGAATACCAGACATGGAAATCGAGTATATAACTATAGTAGCAGCTGCAGTGCTTCTCAATTCGTACGCGAACGCGAAATCTCGTTACAGTCATTGCTGTAACAACAAATATTATGTATTGTGTGCACAGAGTGTGCACATTTTCTTTGTACCGTGTATGGCGAGAAAAAGATACGTTCGATGCTCATTTCCACGTAGAACAAAATCGAATTAAATTAGATCAATCGACTGTCCGATAAAATCCAACAATAAGATTAAATTTTTGAGTAGCACGTCGAATTCTGGTATCGCAATTGCCATAGAAGTCACGACAGTCTCGGAAATGTTAAAAGATCACAAGCGTTAGTAGATAATTTGTAGTCAATCTCGTTCCCTTCTAATGGACATTCGTGTCTGAAAGTCTGTTTCTGTTTCCCGTGCAAACAAGTACGGGAGCGGCGTTAAACCGTTGCGAGACTGCGTGCCTTTCTAGAATGTATCGGTAGTTAGAAATTAACAGCCTCGTCTTTCGAGATTCTTGGGCATAATTAGGGATATAAGTCTCCCGTTTGAGAGCCTCTTGGTTTACAGTTATATCAGCAATATTGTGGGTACTGCAGGGAACTGTTTCAGCTCAGTGGCATCAGCAAGGTCATGTGAGTGCAACCTCTGATCAGGTATACTCACATTCAGTACACCAGCGAGACCTGAGCCGTGCACTCGCGATAAACATTGCATAAGAGAGTGTCAGCTGGGATCGTTAGGCCATTTGAGCTTTTTACCATAATTAAACGACACCGTGACATTTACCGAAGTGCAGTTCTTCCCAAGTAATTCGGACACGCGAGTTTCGTTATTCTAATCCAAGATTAAAATACATGGTAAAAATTTCCACCGCTGTGATTACGTTAAAAATATTCCAGGGATTTATATCGCGGGTGTACATGTGTGCGTAACGCCGCAAATATCCAAATACGCGAGAATGCCAGAGGAAGCGATAATTCATTTCTAATTGTGCATACGCTTGAGCAGCTTTTAAATTTTAAATATACTACGTCCTCGGTCAATCTTAACATTCGGGAATTTATCATGAATTATTTAATTTTGTGAGCAACCCTTACGGAAAAAAGAACACTCAAGTTTTGAGTGTTGACACTCAGACGGACAGAGTATTGTCCGAATTTACTCTCAAATTTGGGTGTAAATATTTAAATCTGGATGTTTACACCCAATACTGAGAGTAAATTCGGACAATCGAGTGTTAACTCTTGAGCGTTTTTTCCCATAAGGAAACGCTGTAAGTCTGAGATGTATTCTGAAAAATATTGGCGTGATAATGGAAAGGACGATATTTGGTTTCAGAAGATGTAGAGAGTATGACAGGCGAGATAGAAAATGGAGACTTGGCAGTTCGAGACGTTGCAGACCTTCTCCAGGCACAATACGCTATTATTACTGGTAGATATTTAACGCTGCAAGATGCTCCGAGATTTTACTCCCGTCGAGATTAAGAGTTTGTTAAACAGCGTACGTTCTTTTCAGGAGGGAAAACGCGAGAGGGATGTCCTATAATCACATTTCCGGACAATGGCAATTTTCATAATTTGACTGATTTGGATTATCAGCGTCTCATGCTGTATCTCACTTCTGTGCCAACGTAAGGATACAGCTGATCAATTTAACGCGATTAATTCAATGCATGGAGATTCCGTTTTTTTTTACGACTAAATGAATCAGATAAAATTACTTGAATACAATCAAATTAATTGACATGTCAAACTTTGTCACTTAGGTTGCAAGAAGCTGATCTTGGGTTCCATTTGATAATTGATCGGAGAAACGATAAGTGGAATTCAGTGAAAACGGTGCTCCTAAAGATTTCTGTAAGTGCATTCAACGCAATAATTCATACGCGTTTATCTGTTTTAAAACTTGGAGAGAAAAATATATAGATTGAAACACAATTGTTCTCTCGTCACAAGTTCTACGCTTTCCTTTCCCAGGCATTTTTCCCCGGTTTGGTACACGTCGCGTACGTGCTACGGCCAGTCGGATTTCTGCAAAAGGCAATCTCGGAAGTGTCGAATAAATTGTTCCGGGAGGATTTCAAGTTCAGGGTCATATTCTTAGCCAACGTCGCCGAGCTGCACGAATTCATAGAGTCGGAGCAGCTCACCGAGCAACTAGGCGGCGATTTACCGTATTGCCATCACACTTGGATACAGAACAGAATTGTAAATACGCCAAACATGAGTTTAGCGATACCAGATGGAATTGACTGGTGCGTTTTTGCATCGATGCACTTTCGTTATTGTTCTTTTTCTGCGCAGAGTTTGGAAAAGTTTTCATCGATGACACAGGACGTGTCTCTCGCGTTAGACTCTTTCACGCGACGTTTGGCCGAAGTGGAATTTCCTAACAACACTATCGCCACGACAACGTTATTGTCGCAGCAACAAGCTGAGTATAACGAGCTGAAGGAAGAAATTCTCAGCGCTGCCAGGCACGGAGAAGCTCTGTTGGATAGCGTACGACAGCTAACTGGAAAAGGAACGGCCGACAGATTAGGAAATGTCGCTGCAGTAGAGAGGTAACGCGAAACATTCGATAAACGCAATAACAAAGTACGACTTTTCTGCATAACATTCGTGAATTTTGCTAATGATTTGCGTTTTGTTCGAAAACTGAAGTCGTCTAATATGAGATAGCGAAGTTTCTACTAAATTTAATAGACATCATCTGTTGGTTCCACCATAAATTCATTGTCTTCCGAGTGAAACCTGTTTAGGAAAATTGATTGTTAGTGTAATCGTTGCGAAAGAAGATTTGTGATTGAATTTGGTTGAAAATAACGTAACAGAGGACTCCTCTATAAATTAAATACTCTTGGACTATTATAACATGTTTTTTTCGGGTATACTGCAGTTTTTAACGATTCAATTCAATTTCAGACTACTCGTCCAGTTGGAGGAAACCGAGCGAACCTTCGACCTGTTTTGGTCGCATCACAGTTCACGCTTGAGGCACTGTCTGGCTCTGCGGCAGTTCGAGCAGGATTTTCGGGAATTGCAGGCGACGTTAGATCAGCATCTGAAGACGGCGGAAGAAATGACGGAGGTCGGCGAGACGCAGGCGAGAGTGGAGCAATTGTTGCACGACACAACGGCATTTCAGCGAATATGCAGAGTACGTGGCGGTTTTTTTAACTAGTAACTTGTCGAGATACCGCGATATAATGGAATTAATGTATCTGATCGTTTTACTGGTAAAATACTTGAGAGTGCAGGGATTTTGCATTTTCAAATAGCGTGTGAAATTATAGAGGCAAAAGTGATGTCCTACTGCATAAAGTAGTTGTTTGTTGAGACACAAAATTAAAGACCCGTTATGTGAAAACAATATGATTATACGAGGGCTTAGCGAAAGCAATTCAACAACATTGCTAACTTCGAACTTCAGAAGTCATGTACATGTCATTCATTGCACTTGAAGCATCAAAATGCACCATTCAAACCAGTATTTTTATTAACTATGAAATATTAAATTTCTATTCCTGCGATGTCAATTCCGTAACGAGATAAAAATGTGAATTCCACTTGCGAATCGCGATTATGCCAGGAACGAATTTATCACCTTATTATCTGTCGTCGTGTTTACATGTAATAACACGTAAATTCTGGTTTGAACGTGATTACCAGCAGTAACATATATAACGCACATCATGCACAAATGTTACTTTGCACCGCTTTCCTCATTTTGTCGATAGTCCTATTTGTTGCATACCATGTGGATTTGGGTCTTGGTAAGCAATCCACTTAACAAAATACATGTATTCTGTAATAGAGTTTATACATTTTGAGACACAGTGATTTTGATATATATATACCTTAGTGTCTACGTATCTCACGTATATATCTCAGTCTTATACTCATGTCTTGGAGTCAAATAGAAAGCGTTACGTTTCGACAAGTATATTTTCGTAGGCGCATACATGAATTGAATTTTGATTACACGTTTAAGCTAACGTCTTACTTTCGTTCTCTTACTTCTTTTCTTTCTAGTTGAAATGCACGCATACGTGTCATCGGAAAACCGGTGGAGATTTGATTCATGTTCGATCACTGGCACGATGAACTTTTGAGAATGTGACTATGATTTCTCGATCTCTCTGCATTGCACGCACAAAATAGCATATGTTTTTCATTTTCTTACACGAGAAGCTTTCTTTCTAGACGATTTAATGAGACTTAAGAAACATGCCATGGTTGTTCGTAGCACCTTCATTTTCATATATCAACACGTAATCGCGTTGTCGTGCATAAATATAATTACATGTGTTTATAGGGAGATATAGATCGAGCGGAGGAGGTGATATCCGCTGGCCAGCAGCTGTTGTCCGGCAGGCATCAGTGCCCGACGGACGTTGTGGAGCCCAAATGTGTGGAATTGCAAAGAGTCTGCACTATTCTCAGCCAGAGACTAGAGAGACGACTGCACATGCTGACCAAGTGCAGGGAACTTATGGAGCGTATAGATAAGGTGCGCCCGGCTTGCGTTTCACACCTGCTCTCCCCTCGATTAAAAATTAAGTCCTGTATTCTGTAAGATTTTTGCTCTACGGGCTCTGCAGCCTTTTAGCTCTTTCTTCTTTTCGCTCCTTGTACTTTCTTTCTTGTTCTACAGTGCTACCATAGCTTGTAGAGATACAGCGTTGCGGAACAATATTACAGAACATATTTTTAAATTCCTTGTTAACTGTCTAGGCTAACACATGGTGTACGCGAGGGATAGAATTGCTAGCGTCGCAGAATAGCACGACGTTGCCGGATCAGGCGCTCCAAGAGCTGCAGCAGTTGATCGAAGCCGCGGAGGAGTTTCACCATCCCCGATGTATCTTCCAGGACTCCGTGATGCCGGAGACTAAAGCGCTCATTACGCAAGTGCGTATTTCCGAGATATTTCTGATTACGAGACGCGCGATCTCGATCCGATATCTGTCTCGTAGGTTCTGCAAAGGATAGAGGATGTGTCCCTGATGTGCGACAAGAGGATAATGGCACTAAAACAGCAGTTGATTAAACCAGCCAGACCAGTACAAACCGTCACTCCAGAACCAGTCAAACCCTTACAATCACTGCCTCAAATCGTTAAGTCCGGCAGAATTCTCAAGAAAGCTAATACCATGCCAAAGGTGAATTTCCTTTTCTATTCAATATCTTAAAACTTATATGATATATGCTTATTATTTTTATATTATTTTACAAATTTCTGACATTCTATATATATATAAATATAAAATTAAGTTTATTATCTTTGTTTAAGATGGAGATGAGTCCTATAGAGGGAGAGTCTTCGTCGCCGGAGAGCGAACCTCGGGACGTCGAAGCTCTGCGCTTAAAGCGCGGCCACGTCTTGACGGAACTCGTGGAAACCGAGCGAATCTACGTCGCCGAGCTCGGCTCGATCGTCAAAGGCTACAAGATGGAAATGACGAACGAGGCGATGGCGCATTTGATACCCGCGGCACTAGTTGGCAAAGCGGACGTGTTGTTTGGAAATTTAGAGGATATTTGTATTTTTCACGGGGAGACGTTCCTGCGGGACTTGGAGAATTGCATTTCGAACACTGAGCTCGTCGCTTTGTGCTTCGTCCAAAGGGTGAGTGCGTAGCGCTTGCATATACACGCTGCGTACCGCTTAACAACTAACTTTACATATGTTTCTAGCGCGAGATGTTCTTCAGATTGTACAGTTATTATTGTCAAAACATTACGCGATCTGAGAGATTGCGCGAACAGATACAAAGCGAGCCGCAGTTTCTTGCGGCCTGCCAGCAGAAGCTTGGCCACAAGCTGCCGCTCGCTGCATACCTTCTCAAGCCCGTTCAGCGAATTACCAAGTACCAGTTGTTGTTAAAGGATTTGTTAAAGTATAGCGACGAGCCTTCGTGCTGCACCGAGTTGCAGGAGGCACTGGACTGCATGCTAGTTGTGTTAAAGTGCGTCAATGACAGCATGCATCAAACTGCGATAACGGGTTTTGGAGTAAGCACTTTTCATTGGCTTCATTTCCCCACGATTTCTCACGTTTTATACCTTTTCTCTTATTCTACTTCGTATCTTCGTATTCTTGCAGGGCGATCTGAGTGCACAGGGTGAATTATTGTTACAAGGCTCATTTAGCGTCTGGAGCAGTAGTAAGCGGGAGCGATTGTTGCGACTAAAACCATCTCAACGACATATTTTCTTATACGAGAAGGCAATGATATTTTGTAAGCATAGCAAGCCTCAGGCCCACGACAAAGCCACGTATCACTTTAAGAGATATTTGAAGGTACCTTTCAATCTTAGAGTTATCTCTTTTTTCCATTTAAGCGCATACGAACGTTCCAATCGTAATTCTACTTAATACAGATGTCGCAGATTGGTTTGACGGAGTCGGTGAAAGGTGATGCCAAGCGATTCGAAATATGGTTGCAGGGTAGAGCTGAGGTGCACACGATACAAGCGCAGAACATCGACGTGAAGCAATCCTGGGTACGTCAGATCAAAGGCGTTCTGATGTCCCAGCTAGCCGAACTTAAAGGCAAACAGAATTCGGCTCTTGGCAAATCCAATCATAAGTACGTGAAAATTAAGAGTACTTATATTCTTGGGATATTCCGTCATTTTTTTGTCTTTCCCCAAAGGCCGTTGCGGCAAACTATTTCGTGGGAAGCGCAAGGCAGTATATCGGGATCTCTGCGAACGTTATCCGTCGACAGCAACAGCGTTATCTCCCACATGACCGACGTGTCGCAGTCCACGGAGGAGGATACGGCGTGGAGTTCGGAGAACAGCAACACGGACGAGGAAGACGCCTTTGGCGACAGTCCGGGACCGGCACCTGTGAGTCTTTCCACTCGTTGCGGAAGTCAAGCGTCGAGATTAGATCTTAGACTAGCGTAGAAAGCTTGGCAATTTTGTTAGCTTCCAGTTTCTAACTTCTGTGTCGACTTTTACTTTTTAAATCAATTTTAAATGAAAAATTTGATCCATCCGGATGCGTATCTCTTTTAAGAATTTTTATATCAGTTTTGTTGCGTTCTCAACAGTAAAACTCGGCAGATACATACATTTGTCTCACGATCGCAGGGCGGAAGATACGTGGCGTTGGCCGATTATTGCGCGGTGGGACAGTCGGAAGTCACGATGCGCGAGGGTGATACCTTGGAGCTTCTCAAGGTCGGCTGTGCCGGCTGGTGGTTCATCAAGCTGATAGGTAGCGGCCTGGAGGGTTGGGCGCCCGCGGCGTATCTGGAACCGATCAGTCGGAAAACGTCACGCAGCTCGCAGTCGGTGAACAGTCAGGAGACTATATGAAATAGGCGACTAACACACTAGAGGACCCGCTAGTGTGTTAGATCTTTGGCTCGTCTCCGCAGATCGCCGCAGTCCCGTCAAGGGACACCGCATTCACCGTTCGGAGCGGTGTCTCGAGGATTTTTCCAGGCGGCGGACGGTTTTTTGGAAATCTTTTACAGCATTTAAACTAGACGATGAGTTGCGTCATTTTGTGTACCTTTCTTACGCGACACGGCGTACGGGAGATTTGTCGAGTGACGCCTTTGCGTTCGCGATACGAGGAACGTTAAGTTGAACAGGATTTTTACGTTCACGGGAATTTTATACTAATTATGCATAACGAGAGGTGGACAAGACGGAGGGAGAAGCCTCACGTTTCGCGACCTTCGCGCCGCGAACGATCGGTCGAGCGAGATTGTCGCGGTTTGCTTACAGATTGGACGAACTCGTTCGCGAGCACGGAATGGCGTTTACTAAATTGTACAAAATGTTTGAATTAAGGGGTGTATACGTGCACGCGCACAATGGATTACGAGACAATGATCTCGTATGTCGATCACACTACAATTTCTATAACGATGTACACGCTATAGTCAGCGGCAAGCGGGAGCCAGGAGGGATCCCGACGTTAAATCGCACGCGTCCTCGCGTTCGATCGCTTATAATTCGTTATAAGGAGAATCTGCATGAAGAAGTATGTATTCTGTAAATGGTAGTTTCTACTTGCGACCCGAGTAATCAAATATCGGCTGTACGCGATTATTCCAAAGTTTAATATTGTTGTGAGAGAGAGAGTGAGAGTGAGAATGAGAGAGAGAAAGAGAGAGAAAAAGAGAGACGCGTGACACTTTCGTCCATAGAGTTCTGTCGACGACACGCGTAACTTCCTTTTGCCGATAAATGATCTTACTCTCGCTCGGTGTATTTCGCGGCGTCGCGAGTAATTAGACGTCGATCGTCGGACAAACCGCTGCCGTCGATCGCGTCAGTTGTGTATCGTCATATGTTGGCTTAGAGTTCTTAGATAGAGCCCTAGTTGCATCGTTCACAACCGAATAGTACAATTTTAGCGCAGTTTTCGCGAGCTTTCGAGAGTATCCTAAGTGTTTCGTTTTTCCGAGGTCGCTTCCGAGGGTGACTGAAATATAAAATATTCGCAACGGTGGATCCTCGAGCCTTCGAAGAAGGGGGAGAAAAATGTGTGATAAAAGAAATCGAATTAGAACGATGCTTCTGCAAGACTAATCATTGTAAACACGCGCGGAGGGGAAAGGGAGATGTTTAATTAATATTGCGCCATTCTTAGGACGTTAGATACATTGTTGACGAGTCGTTTGCGACCAAATAAGCTTGAGACGTTACTATATGACATATATGTGAACCATCCGTTTCGGGGGGAGGGGAGGGGGGAAGGTGTAACGCGGTGGTGGGACGGAGGGGGTTCGAAAGAATCATATGCTACGTGTACACAAATTTTCTAGGAGGCTAAACGGTTAACACCAAGTAACATGCAATATCTGATACCGATAAAATCCTAACGCATTATATACTTTAGGACTTATACAAATAAGCAATCTTCTATAAGTTCTAGCGGATTTCATAACCCACCAGTTTCATAAGTCTCTATTACGATATGACGCTGTATAATAGTATCATTTGTACTGAAACGTTTGTACGGATACGGATAACATAATTTAAGGGGGGGGTTCATCTCGACCGCTATGATTTTTCTCTCCGGTGTCGCATGCGTTAATTGTGTCCGCTCCTACGCGAAACAAGGGACATGATTCCGTCGCAGCTTTTTACTCGTATAGCCTACATGAGTCTCTGCTTTTTAGTATTTACAATCAGAGTATTATTATTTGTACAGAATTGCTGATATTTATTAGATATTTATTAGATCTATTTATTGACTATAGAAGTTGATTATTTATATCGCGACGAGTCACGGCGATCAGTGGTTTATACTGGCTCAGGCTGCCCCAGACTGATTTACAATTGATGTGCGCGATTAAGCCGAGGGCTATTGTATAATTTACGATCGCGTAAACTCTTGAGTCGAGCGTACACGTTAATTCGTTTATTCGCCGGGGCACTGCGTTTACGAGACCCGCACCTCCGATCGTACAAGCACGGTATTTCTTTCCGCGTCACGTCTGTTACTTTCCGCGTCTCCTCGCATCTAGAGCTGTAGTACGTCTACGTGTATTCATCCATTTGTACGCCGTCCTTATATATTGACCATGAAATTCCAATCAAACGAGCGATGTTGGTTTGAACGGCCGCGCGCTCCCCTCGATTGTGCGATATCGAGGGCTGGACTGGCGCGCGGTCAATTTTCGTTTTGCGACAGTTCATCGGAAACCCATGCAAAGATTTGGGGGAAGAAGACACTGGTGGGCAGTTCATCTCGAGGGAAAGGAAAAGGCAGTTAAAGCGCCGCTCGTCACGCATCTCGCCATATCCGCGGACATTTCCGTAGAACACGTCACCTCGCCGGAAGTCGTTCGTAGGCCTGGCGAGGCGATTCCTCATCTCTGTGTAAAATCGCGGTTGAAAAGCGACCAAGCCAAGGGTGATATATCTAAAACACGCGAGACGCGATTTTGTAGAACCTATAAATATACACATATATATGTATACACGCATACACATACATATATACATAGACAATAATTATATACCCGCTGTTGGAGGAATACCATGGCAAATGCGGTTCGCGTAACGATATTTCACGATGAACGACCGAAGAAGAAGCGACACTACCCTCGGCGACTACCCGGGGCAAATAGAAGCAGGTTTCCGCGAGTGAATCTCTCGTCGTGGACGGAATCGCGATTATTAATGAAGATCTGTCGCGGGGAGAGACAGAAAGAGGAGGAGGAAGAAAAGCGCAGAGGAGTTGGACGTTTCGACCGCGGTTCCCTTAACGGACGGTTCCTCTCGTCGTTCCTCGTTGGCGCAAGGGGGTGATAGTAAAGTCTATTTTTGCATATAACATGTAACAAAGAGGCTGCCGAAATCTCTTCTATTTGCATTACGTAATGCGTTTTGCGCGATCGCTTCTCGCCGACTGTAATTAACGGCCGTACGCCTTTCCTTCCTTCGATTATCCCTTCGAGCCCTTCGTCGACTTGTTTCCTTCGCGCGCGGTCTGCGATTGTAAATCGCAGGTCGTTCTAATCCTCGCGGGGAACGTAACTTCTCGGCTCTCAGGAGCGATATTTTTATACGGGATATGCGAGCGGCTCGCTCGAGCTTAGATTGATCAACGCTTGGAATCAATGTCTGTTTATATCGAATTTGTTACGTGAAAGAATTGACGAATTCGCGAATAACGCTTCGGTTGGAGAGGCTTTCGCGTACGAAGGGACGAGCGTGAACGCCGATTACAGCGTGCAGCGAGAAACGTTCGCTTTTAATTGTCACCCGTCTTCGTCTCCATCGTCTTCGAAGAAGGGAACGGAACACCGCGATTTCCATGCGATTTGGCTGTTCCACGTGTCACAAGGAGTTTCTGTTTCAACCTGTCCGAGAACACTTTGCGTGCAATTCAGTTTGTCAAAACTTGTATGAGTATCTGCAATACTAAACGGGAACATTAAACGCAAGAATTCGAAACGGAATCTGCAACAAAAGCCTGTGGTTCTCTTCAGTTTTATTTACTAAACCCTTCCTGCTGTTTTCTGAGTCTTCCAGCCGTTCGCTGACGGAACGCAGAGAAGCTTACTAATGCTTACTAATTCTTAGTGCGTGATAAACTTCCTAATCCTACAAGGGATATCTGATATTCTCTTACAACTTTTACTCTTAAATCTGACCATTTATGTTAACAATATAGATCTTTGTCTTATCTAGAACACGATTTTTCACGTTATTTGGACGCCACTTTGCGCGTTGAGGATCATTTTGCGTTGTAAAAACGTGTTAAGACGAAAGTTGGGGGACTCCGAAATGTAAAGAAATGACATTAAAAACGTTCCCGGGGCGCTGTGCGACATTTCTGCGCATAAAGATAGCATGAAAATGTCCGCACCTCTAATCGTGAGCGAAGTCGGTCCACAATTGAAATCGCCGGGCCGGCGAAGTCGCTTCTCGCGGCGGTCGACAGAGGAGGCCACTGCGTCCTGGGCGAACGAAGGCCGGGATTCACCGCGAGAGTCGAGACCGCTTTGCTTACGCACGCGCCACGCAGTACGCACTACGCACCTTGCCTCGCGCGCTTCGGACCGGGATGGTCTTGACGACTCGTCGCGCGTGATAATCGCTCGCGGTGGCCTGGTGACGCGGTGTCGTCGGCGGCTCTCCCAGGTTTCCGGTCCCCAGGTTCCCCGACGCACGCGGCAGCGCTCCCGCGGAGATACCCGCAGTTTCGTTCCGTCCCGACCAGTCGGCGAGGCACCGTGAAATATGCCGCCGCAAGCGAACGTGCTGCCGAAGGAGAGGCTCGAGACACCGTCGAGCGGGATTAACGCCGTTCTGCTGGGGCCACCCGGTAGCGGCAAGGGCACTCAGGTATCCCTTCCTCACGCGCCTCGTTTGCTTTTCCAGTCCGGGCCGCTCGACGCGGTAATTACTCTCGCGCGTGACCGAATGAAATGACACGGATTGATTGCCATCAGTCTGCCCTGTCAACGATACATTCCTCGTCCTCGTTTCTGTTTTAACTTTGCGAGAGCTTGGGGGGGAACGTCTCCTTGAATACTTGTCAATTTACCAATTGCTTCCTGCGCTGGCCGTTAACTTTCCATTAAAACCAATGACTAGATGTTTCAAAGGTCACGCTGGAGCGCTTAACTGCGAGGATTAAGTTGAGCGATTGTTTCAGGCTCCGCTGTTCAAGGACAGGTACTGCGTGTGCCATCTGTCCACGGGTGACATGCTGAGGGCCGAGGTCAGCTCCGGTTCCACCCTCGGGGCTCAGATCAAGAAGGTGATGGACGAGGGCAAGTTGGTCAGCGACGATCTGGTCGTCAGCATGATCGAGAGCAACCTGGAGAAGCCCGAGTGCAAGCGTGGCTTCCTGCTGGACGGCTTTCCGAGGAGCGTGCCTCAAGCGGAGAAGGTGAGCCGGAGAAAGGTCAGCTCTTTAAAGAGGGAACTGCGAGAATCACCGAATCTCTTTTCGCACAGCTCGACGAGATGCTTAACAAGAGGAAAACGCAGCTCGACGCTGTCGTCGAGTTTGGCATCGAGGACAAGCTGCTGATCAGAAGAATCACGGGCAGGCTGATACATCCGGCCAGCGGTAGATCGTACCACGAGGAGTTTGCCCCTCCCAAAGTCCCCATGAAGGACGACGTAAGTGAAAACGAGCCTCGGTAAAGAAGACGATGGACCCATCGTGTGATATCGTTTGGAAAAGTCCTCTCTCTCTCTCTCTTTTTTACCCGATACAAATCGGTGCGTTTGCAAAATGCTAATAAGAGATAAGTTTAGCGACATACTGACCCTTGAATACGATTTTGATAATATATCTCTACCGGAGATAACGCGCAACAGCGTGCGTGTTTTCAGCACTGGACACATGCAAAAGCGTCATGGTTATGTAACTTGAGTAAATTATGGAATTCACTTCAAGTTCTGGACGTTAAAGCGCAATCTTTATCTCGACAGATCACCGGGGAGCCCCTGATCAAGAGGTCCGACGACAACGAGGATGCCTTGAAGAAACGATTGACCACATATCACACGCAGACCGCACCTCTCGTCGATTACTACGCTCTGCAAGGGATCCATCACTACATCAATGCCGCCCAGTCCGCCGAAGAAGTCTTCAAGAATATCGATCAGATCTTCCTGAAAGCCACGAAGAAGAAGGGCTTCTTCAGCAGATTTTTCTAGAACACTGCCAACAGAAGTGCTTTCCAGAATGTTTTCTTTTTCATAAAATTTAATTCTTCAATTTTGGCTTCCGCCCCGAAAGAAACCCAGGAATAATTGTGAACAATTGTAATAGCGGCTCAAGTGTTCAACGCTTGTCCAACAAGAGTAATTCGCGTTTCGATGTAATTCTAGTAACATGAACGTCACGTTCACAAGGATCACTGTAAAAGGCACGGTCGTATCTCGCGGCAATACGTAAGACGAAGATATGTAGCAGTATTTAATACACGGACACCATATTCTAGGAAGGTATAAGGTGCTACGGTCGTGGATCGAGTGTACACGGTCTACCGATGCTGAGAATGTAAAATAATGTAATGCCTATTAGCTTAGTGAAGAAACCGACACATTTGTACATAGTCGTTGAAGAGTATTCCAATCCGTTGTTACCATATTGCGTGATACTGCCCACTTTACATTGAGGCAGTCTTTCGTATATCTCGATATATTTTTGTTTTCTTTTTACCGCGAGAGTCTATCGTATTAAAATGTGCGAAACAACGGCGAGGAAACGAGCACGGCGACTACACGCACTATCTACAAATGCGCACTTTTGTTTTTTTTGTCGACTTTTTGATATTTCGTTACTTTTAGCGTTAAGCGCGAACGACCTATTTCGAATTTTATCCTTTTGCCAATTCTGAAGATGGGATCGAGTGGTAGAACTTTCAATGTCGATATTCTTGGCCACCCAGAATAAAGGAATTATAATCGACTCGAGCCTGAAATTTCGAGTTGATTATAATTTTCGGGTTGACAACGATAATAATGTTCAACTGCCACGTTTGATGGGGAAACGTGGACTTTGTACATACGCTTGTACGTACAATTGCGTCGCGTGCTCTATGATCGCGTGCTAAGAGAAACGGTATAGCTAAAGTGCAAGAGTGACTGCGCAGATTCGCGGAAGGACAAATGCGGAGTTCTCGAAAACATCTAACGATTTTACGAGGATACTGACAAAGTGCAACGCAAATTAGAGACCTATTTTACATAGAGAAAGGAAGCGTAGATGTATTTTTATATCTACGCTTTTATAGATATATTTTTCTGGCGGGTATCCCTATGTATGTGTACACAAAACACAAAAACTCTTGATATTTTCCGAGGAAGGAAGTGAAACAAATGTAAATCTGTGCAAGAATAAATCACATCTGAAGTTCTTCGCGATATCTCAATGGTGTCGACAGTAATTTCAATCGTATGTGTAACATTTTCTGCGTTAGATAAGAAAGCGTATCAGTGCCTCAGAGGTAAACAATGTTAAGTCACATTTTTGTAATCGCAGTTAGGCACCGAGTATTTATGTTACAATTTCTCACTCAACCATGTAAACGCAACATGGGTGAGTGAGAAATTGTAATATATAAATGCAACGTAACTGATACTCAGTGTTCACTAGGATGTTATAAAGATATAAAAAGGGAATTTTTATATTTCTTGAATCCGTTTGTCAAGATAAAGTAATCTAATTAAAAAAACTTTTTAATCTCGTTTTGTAAAGAATGTGACAACTCTGTTTATCTCTGAGGCACTGATATCTGACACAGTAATTCTCTCAGGTTCAATTTTAATTCGATTACCGTGACTTGCAATTTTAATTTTTTCTATCGGATTAAGAAATGTAGGCTGGTTCTCTTAATATGTCAATATTTTAGAGAGTGTCTAAAGTTCATAATGAAAAAATATACATTACACATATATTAATGACAGAATACACGTATAATAATTCAATAAGCGATTAATTTAACGCAACATGTAAAATTTCTAATTATACAGGGTGTCTCATTTTAAATGCCGCCCTTCGAACCAAACAACTTTGGTCTGAAACGCTTTTCCGTATCTTTCACATTTTTGGAGACATTTGCGCGGATCATTTAAAATGAGACACCCTGTACACTTCGTCCTTCCTAATCCGATCTTTCTCTCTGTGCTTTGTAAAAATCAAGGGACTGACAATTCTCAACGAACCGGCATAAATATATCCCGTTGATTTAATTTCAATTAAACCGAGCGCGGTCGAAGACGAACTTCCGACTTCGAGTCGCCTGAGGTCGCCGCGCCGGCGAAACGGGCGATCCCCGGCGCCGCTCGCGCATCTAGATTTGTTGCATGCGCCGTGAGAGCGAGACCGTCCGTACGTCCGTCATGGCGGATAATGTTTTCGTCCCGTGATACGCCGACTCGCGATCGCATCGGCTCATCGATTCGGCCGGTCGCAGACACGACGACGAGGACGACGAGGACGACGGCGGCGACGTTGGATCGCGCTCGATTCGGTGAAAGCCCGGCGATCATCCCGCGACCATGGACACGCGCGGCATCGAGGTCACGAATCAGCTTCGGGTGAGTGCCGCGAAACGCGGTGTCCTGGCCGACGCCAGTGACAATGCGATACCCGCCCGGGAATCGTCCGGTCGTCCGATCGCCGGAGGAACCGGGCGTGACGCCCGACGTCCCGTCGGCGTCCCGGTTATTATGTAATCGCCGAGTAATCCGCGAAAAAGAGACGCGGCACGCACGGCCGGGGGCCGCGAGGAAACGGGACGGTCAGTCGCTCGCGTTGCGCGTAGCAAGTTAACGTTAATTGCTCGTCAGGGAATTCAAGCTGATTAGTCCTGATACATTAAATCCCCGCACGTGCGATCGAGCTTCTCAAGACCGGGGGGGGGGGGGTGGTGGAGCGATTAACGTCGTCTCGACGAGAGCTACGCATATTTTCCGCGTGCAAACCCGGCGTGACTCGAATTCCCGTAGGACGAGAAACACTGAGACTTCTGGTCGCTCCAGCGGGCCGTGTCCTGGCCGGGTGATAATTCGAAGAACGGAGCAGGAATGGAGAGAGAGAGAGAGTCGCTTAGCGATTCAGATCTCAGCTCCAAGTTTACTCGTTTATTTACGTAGCGTTGATCTCCTGTTCCGTGCACGCAGAATTCCAGAGTGGAAGCTACCTCTGTCTCGCTTCTGGGGGGGAAAAAAAGGAGCAATAGGAGACTGTCTCTGAGAAGCGATTATACAGTCTGTGTACTTCTGAAAAAGATACGTTTAGCGAGTGGAATCAGATCGAGTTGCAAGGGTGTATAAGAGATCAAACCTCACAAGTCAATCGTAACGTTTGAGTTTGCGCAGGGAATGTTTTCAGAGACACAGATTGGACGCTGTGAGCTCGTCGAGGGGTCACCGAGGGGTCTCCGAATTGTCTTTCCTACGAGGCAGCTTGAAATCGCGGCCTGTCGATTGATTCGAAATGATAGGCGATACAAGGGGGACCGCGCGAGCGTGAGAGATAGCGTTCTACTTAGCTGTTGAGCAATGTTGTACTTGGCAATGTCCGTTATTTGGAAACACCGGGGCCAACTGTACTTAGGGATGTTCCAAAGTCGTGCGTCAACTCGGGAAGACGCTTAAGAAAAGCAAACATTCAGTGCAGTTTATGTAATAGGTTGTTTCCACCTGATTTTTGCTACGCCCGTTGACCGCGAGAGTCCGTAGAATACGAATGCGCGCCGCAGCTTTCGCCAAGTGAATTTTACCTTCTTTTAGAGCGCCATTCGCGCCAAGCTCATGGAACTGGGGGTGCGTTACGACGAGGAGCTGCCCGACTACATTCTGGTGATGGTGGTCAACAAGAAGTCCCGCCAGCAGATGCACGACGACCTAAATCTGTTCCTGGAGGGCTGCACGACCGTGTTCGTGGACTGGCTACACGATCAGGTGCTCAAGAAGCTGCAGAAGGTCACCGTGGCGAAGAAGAAGTCGTCCCGCGAGTTCGTGCCTACCGTGGTGGTGAAGCAGGAGGAGGAGAGGAAGAAGAAGAAGATAATCGCGACCTCGTTCCTGGAGGACCAGGCGGCGGAGCAGAGCTCCTCGGCCGTCGACCGGTTCGCGGACAAGAACGCGAAGGTCGACAAGCAGCCGGCGGCGCAGAAGCCGCAGACGGTCAAGCCTTCCGTGTCGAATCAAAACCGGGAACGAAGTCACAGCAGGAGCGCGGAGAGAAGCGTCAAGGGTGCGCACGGCAGGAACAAAACGGAGGAGGCGTCGTCGGCGCACGGATCTCACCAGGACTCGGCCTCCTCGAGGAGGCAGCAGCAGCCGAGTTCCGGGCGCGACGAGACCTCGGCGAGGGACGTCGCCGCGTCGGAGAATCCCGCCGCGAGGAGCGCGGACGCGAAAGCGAGCGAGGCGCCGGACAAGAGTCTGAAGAGAACGTTGGAGGCGTCGGGCAGTCGTCACGATAGCGCGGAGAGAAGGAGCAGCGAGGCGAAGCGGCCGAGGCCGTCCGAGGAGAAGGAAGACGCGAATGCGTCGTTGTCCTCGCCGGACACGGCCTCGAGGAAGCTCAAGTCTTGCGTCAACAAACCGAGGATCACGTCGGTTGTGTCGGTGAAGACCCGGCTCGGCGTGCCGTCGCCGCGAAAGAAGTTCGAGATCTACAGGGAGAAGGAGGGCAACGGCCGCTACCGGCCGTTGGAGAAGCGGTTCGAGAAGCCGCGTCGCTACGACGGCAACATCGGACGTGGCGGGAAGGGCAGGAACTTCGAGATGGACGAGCGGAGCTCCAGGCGGAATCGCGACGGCGACTCGTTGCGGCATCACGAGGCCGCGGCCAAGGTCAACGACGTGAGGAGTCGAATAGAGAGCAACAAGAGCGAGCGACTTGGCAGAAACGCGGAGTCCAGGGATAGGATCCTGAATCCGATCTCCAAGGCGGACGTGTCCGCGAAAAAGCCCGCGTTCAACATTAAGGATCGTCTGGGCGTCGTGGGTGGCAACAGTAAGGTTCAGAGACAGTCCGCCAAGTCGCAGGAGGCGGCAGATTACAGGAACAACCCAAAGAGCTTGGAGCAAGCGGGAAACAACAATAAGAACATCAAAGACAGACTCGGCCCGTTGAAAAATAACTTCAGGCCGATGCGTAAGCAGAGGCAGCCTCGCAGCAACGAGGACGTCGAAGCTCTAGCCTCTCTGAATCCAGACGCCGAAAGGGACGAAGAAAAGGACGAGAAAGAGCAGGAGGCGGAACAAGAGGAAGAGGAGGAGGAGGAGGAGGAGGAGGAGGAGGCGGCGGCGGAAGAGGAGGACGACGAGGACGAAGCGGACAACGACGAGCAGTCGCTGTCCGGACCCGTCAAGTCGCACATAGTTGCCGTGAACAGATCGGCGGCCTTCGCCGCCGCGAGGACTGAGAGGAAACGTATGAAGACGTCGAACAACGCTCCGTTTGGCGCGGCTCAGGGTATCGGCTATCTGGCACACGGGAGCGCAAAGTTACAGCTGGACAAGATGGATAAAGGAACGTGCAGCGACGTGGACGAGGATACCGACGACACGAGGCTGCCGAGTAAAGTGATTGTCACGCCGAGACCTCTGAAACCGCTGCAACCAGCGCAGAAGCGCGCCACGCAGTCGCTCTTGTTGCGGGCAGTCGCGGAGGCGAATCAGTCGGTCGTCAAGCAGAAGAACCCGGAACCGTCTCTATTCGTAAGTAATTCATTGATTACGTTGTAAATAATCCTCTAAATCGAGCAACGACTCTTTGTAACAATTTAACACCGAGAACGGTAAATGCCGATAATGTTTATCTGGATATGAAATGTTGCACGTCGTAGAGGAAAGAACGTTTTTTTCATCGAAGGCTCAATTTTGTTAGGACAAGAAGCCGGTCTTAAAGCGTCTTAAGCCTGCCCCGGCTCGTGATGTAAGTCAAAACTTGTCGGTACATTTTAATTCTAGTAAGAGACTGGTCATGGAAAAGATTCAAGTCGAATTAAATACGATAGATCATCTGGATGTGGAAGACGTCGAGCACGAACCTTGTAAGTGCCCCACCTCCGCGGAGAGACGTGTCTTTGCATCAGCAGAGTTTGAAAGAGTTGCAGGACCTACGTCGTACGTCCTGCTTTCGTTGGAACCTTTATTTGTCGATCTTCCACTTTGATGGGTGTCGTTCATTTCGCGTATCCTTCACTCGCAATCTTCCCATTAAATAGTCTTCAATGAAAGGCATACATGGAATGATAGTCGAACGTATGGGACCCCATTTAGAAATGGAGCCTTCTTACACGCAGCCACGAAAAATTCTTCAACCTTCCACTAACAATGCTTGTACTAACAACTTTCGAACGTTTGCAAATTGTAAGAAGTACGGTAAATGATTGCTTAACTGCTGACAGATATATTTCGGTGGAGCGTGAGTGAAAGCGCGTTTAAGATAAATAAAGATTCCAAAGAAGTATTCGTAATAAAGATTACGAATCCTTTTGTACGACCCAAAGACTAACTCTTTCATCTCTCCTGCCGGTATTTTAATTCCTCGCTTATTATCGCCTAATCCGTAGATGTACCTCAACCGGTAACGGACGAGCATATGGGAGTCGTGATGTCGTTGTTCCAAAGGAGCGACGACAATCAGAAATTCTTAGTCACTTTGAATGGATACAACAACAATCTCATGAAAGAGAAGGTCAACAATCTCCTCAGCTCCGAGGACGACGAGGAGCGGCTGGAGATGGAGGTAATTTTCTTCCGCCACCTGTAGAGCAGTCTCCCTCCTCTCCTCCCCCTCTGAAGTTTAATCCTCGCGCGCATTCTAGACGCACGATGTTCCTCCTCATGCTCGCAGGTGAACGAGGACGACGAGCTTGCGCTGCTGACGACGCACAATGAGGCGACGGCGGCGGCGGCGACGGCGCAGGACGACCTGGAAATTAGTATATTTAGAATATCGGACGAAGCGGAAGATAACGCGGACGCGAGTCCGAAGGAGACGAGCGGCGAGGAGAACAATGAGAACTGCAACACGGAGAACATGGATAAGACTGACGAGATGCCGCGTAAACGGAGAAAATTGAGCCCTATAGTATACAACAGATCTCACTCTCCGAGTCCCACGCGATTGAAATCTAACGCAGCGCTAGTGCCGACGTTAGCCGCCAAACGTACGCATTGAAATTTCTCTCGCGTCTGTCGACGGCGAGGCGTAAAGCATATCGCTACAATATGCTGTTACTTTTCAGCTACGGATAAAAAACCGTCGGTGGAGAACACGGCCCCGCCTGTTCTGGACAAGTCCAGGGAGAACTGTAGATACTGGCCGAATTGTACACTAGGGAACAAATGCGCGTACCTTCATCCACCTGTTATGTGCAGGTAGCGTATCTTTCTGGAGGCTCGTTACACCTCGGAATATGAACGATCGTTTTCCTGTTATAAATACACACGATGACAGAAAGCGTTCAGTTTCGAAGACTCGTTATTAACTCTTCTCTTTCGCAGTGCCTTCCCGGCATGCAAGTTCGGCGACAAGTGCGCCTACAAGCATCCCAAGTGCAAGTTCGGTTTGTCCTGCACGAAGCTGGGCTGCGTGTTCTCGCATCCCGCCCAGCAGTGTAAGTATCATCCGTTCTGCACGAAACCGGCGTGTCCGTATTCCCACCCGGTCAGTTCTGCTCCGGCGGCGGAATCGACGAGCCAACGTGCGAAGTTCACTTGGCGACGACGAGACTGAGCGTACTTCCGCAGATGTACAAACCTGGATACGTCTGTTCTGATCGGATCGAGGTTCTGATCCGCGAAAAATTATCTTGTACAGGTCAATGATGAGACGTTCAAGCTTAAGTAGCGTTAAGCTGACACCGAGTTACCGCAGCGAAGCTAGTTTCGCGATTGAAGAATGCGTCTAGAAGAGAGAAAAGCTTCGTCAGTACAAGTGCGATTTATTGCATCAGACTGTAATTCTACTTTCTCTCAAATTGAGAATCCTAGCAAGACAGAAGGAAAACTTTCGAAATATTCTAAACAATGAAAATTAATCGTTTCATCTGATTTGAACGATATTTAAAGTAATTGTTAAAGCTTTAATTTGATTTAATTTAGATTGTACGTTAGATCGCCGATTTATATATGTATACCTCCCTGTTGATTTATCGCCTTAGGCTAAGATCGCGTGCGCCGTCAGTCGAACTGATCGATTTGCTGCCATTCTTAGATTATATATTCTATTGGTAATGTGAAGGAGTCTGGTTTAGTTAACCAGGGTTAACCGACGCAACTGGTCCTGGGGTGATCATAGAACTCGTTCTCCTTTAAGGTCGACCTCACCGAGACATTCTCGTCTCGATTTATGTATATGAATATGTTCGAAAATATGTATTGTCAATCGTACGATTCTAGTATGTCGTCAATATACATATATATAATTATATATATAATTATTTACGTGTAATGAACGGCCAGGAGAACGATAATTAGGTCTGCTCTTTTTAGCCGAGATTTTGTTGTAAATCTTTTGCATTTTTATCTTTGAATCGTTTGTCCTTTTCTTTCCACCGAAGTCCGTCGAAGTGTGTGCTTCGCTTCGGGTAAACTGTGCGAGGGCATAGTTGGGAGGAACAGATCTACCGTGTACTGTCTCACGTCGAGAGCGAGTATAACGATCTTGTCAAACGTGGATGCCTGTGTTCGCGTTATAGTAATTAGTTGTGCGCTCGTTTTGGGAGTACCGGCGAGATCTCTTTGCCGCGAGTTGGAACATCCTCGTCAGGCGACTTAATCCGCTTTCGAGCGGGGCAAAATACGGTTGCTTTATCACGTGCCGTGCACTCGACGCCCGCGGTCGAGGCGTGATAAAAGTCAGGTACTTCGTTGCTCGACCACCGTTTATGTAATTTAACTGTATAGGATCTAAGTATAGAAAGCGAAGGTGGTTTCCATATTATTTTACCTAGTGTTAGCGAGCGGTGAGTCGCCCATGAGATGTACAATATTATTGAGACTTGTCATCATCAGAAACAAATATACGATGATTTCTGTAAAACGCAGTTTCGTTCTCGAGATATTCTCTCGGTCCTAGCCGTGTCTCCTTCCTAAAAAAGAAAGTTGCGGAGCGTCTCTGATTGTGAGACAGGTATTACCTCCGTAATTAAATATAAACGACAGGATAAGTTTCGGTGACCGCGATTACCGCAGAAAATAATCACGGCCGTTGTTATTGTAATTCAAATACACACATGCGTTGAACATCGTGGTCGCGTCGAAGGAAGGCAAGAATCGATCGAGACGTACTTGCGATACGCAAGCTTAGCTGCGTATGTGATTTTATTGCGTGTCTTCCTTTTTATTTATACTCGTTTAAAACTCATCTCCAAATGAAACTTTACGTCCGCATAATTAGCGCGTCAGCGTGTTACACATCGTCCTCGTTTCGTACCGAGGGAATGAGACGCGAGTTTAGAACTCTGTGAAACATTATCGCGATCGTGTCCTAAGAGGATCGGCAGATCAACACGGTTTCTCTCACGCACACACTCGTATACGCTCGCACACAACTCCGCGCTAATTTATATATATATATATATACGTATAAATCTATGTATATGCTCTCTATCGTACTGTGGGGCACTTAGAAAACTCGTTAATTCGTTCGCCTTCTCGATCTCGCGTCGACTCCGCGCCGGAAAATCCAGGCGAATGCGTTCGCGAGACACTTTAAAGTAGTATATATAGATTTTTCTTTTGTTTTCCTATTCGAGGATTGCTTTGTCTCCAAGGGGAAAAATAAAAAAATAGTGCGCGCGCGCGCGCGAACGTATGTCTCGACCCCTTTTAACATTTTAATCTACTTTCGACAAGCGGAGCCCGGGATCCTCTTCGGCGGAGGAGAGTAAGCTCGGTAGGTCTCCTGCGGAGAGAGAGGAGATGAATTAAAACGCGATCGAGAGGGGAAGATTCGCTTCTGCGTAAACGGAACGTTTTCCCTCTAATCTACATAATCACTCAAATTAGGTGTACACTTTGTAATCCTAAGCAAGGTATTCCTTCCTTCTAAATCGTCGAATACAGACAGGAACATTCGGATTCCTAACATCGCGACTCGAAGACCTCGCCAAGAGAGAAAGGGAAATCGTCTCTCTCTCTCTCTCTCTCTTCTTTTTATAATACACAAACCCATCAACTGTTAATAAAGCTCTCGCGGATAACACCCTGTTTCCTGTTCCTCGATACCCTTTACTGCGCGATGCGCCGTCTCCCAAGAGAAAAAGGGATGGGAATGAAAAAAAAAAATGGGGAGAAAAGAATAATATGTTATATGTATACGGTACGTACATACATACATACATATACAATATTTATATATAAAAAGTGTGCGCAACATTCTTCGCGAGATAATTTGGCAAGGACTAAACATATCATTAATTATGTCTGCATACAAATGCCTATGTACGTGTGCGTATATGTGTCTCTGTGTGTGTGTGTGTGTGTGAATGTTAAAACGTATGTATATGTCTTCTTCGTCTGTGTACAGTCGGGGAACAACGAATTCACAACATCACGAAATTCGCGTCTCGCGCGTACACGACTGTTTAAAACACGCGCACGCACAAACGCTCCCGTAACCGCGGAGCGTTAAATTTCTTTTTATATTATCTTCATTTCATATATATAATATATAATAATAATAAAAATAATAATATTACAATAATATAATTACAAATAATTAGTTTTATCCGTGATATACTATTTTAATATTTCACTAGATTTTTTTCCGTTTAATAATGTCCTTCGCGGTCTCGCGTGCTCCTCGTCCCTCGATTACAGGCGAGCTGTAAAAGAAAGCGCGGATGTGCGGAGGGCGGTCATCTAATGCTCGGTCTATTTGATTTTATCACAGGAGTCCGCCTCTGACCGCCGTTCTCTCGCATCACTTCGACACCATTGCCTCCGAACTAATAATTTCTATACGAGCGACACGGCAAAGTGGCGGATAAGACGAGCCGTTGGGCACAATGGTATAAGCCATATTTTTAAATGCGACATGCATTACGAAATCTCTTTCATACACGGAAAAGAAAATGTAGCTGCCATAGCTTGAAAACTACACGTGGTAACTAAATAATTTCAGTTGTACGATATGAACAGCTAATATTTAGTTGCGATAGTTAAATATTTTGCTACTGTGCCTATTGTATAATATTAAATGTGACAGCAAACTGTTCGGTGTGCTTTAGAGATTTATAGCTGTGGCAACAAAATATTTTTAGCGGACCACGATTAGCTACGGTAGGGAAAAAATTTTTTTTCAGTGTATGTAATGAAACAGATTGCAAATTTTACATCTCACATCGAGACAAAAGCCGTTGAACTGAGCCTGGCGTACCTTTTGCGTTCTTTTCATCAAATTGGAAAATAATCTAGAGTAATAAAAGTCCGATTGAGAAGAATAAGAAATAATGATTAATCCATTATACTAGTGACTTGTACCATTATTTCATTCGATGGCTCATAACGCTCGACAAACGCGGGATTCACATAATCGGAGGAACCGACTCCGTTCCTGTTTTCGTAACTGTACTTTCTATTAGTCTTTCTGTAGATTCTTTTTTTCTCTCTTTCGTCGTATAAAGTCTGACACATACACATATGCTTCATTTTAAACGCCGAAAGCGTAAGCGTCACACTCTTTATCACACTCTCTTATCCTTATCGCCATCCTTATTTACACTTTACGTCGCAACGAACGTTCTCCTCGCACCTTCTACACTATTATTATTTACCGCAGATTAACATTACAGTGCCACAGCTCGGTTTCGCGATAACATAACTCCCCCGGTATCTACTCAGGCCGTTATTATCCGTTAGTTGCCATTTCCATTTGATTGTATCGCGTTACACGTTGCACCAAAAGGTTCGTATTCGCTGTCGGCGAAACCGAGCGGCGGGAACACCGGTCTTTGTTGATAAATCTCGCATACAACATGAGCCAAGTTGAATCCTTGCCCGGACACGCGAAATCACCGCCGACCCCTTCTGGCGACTGTCGAAAATTAATAATATAATATAACATCGGTAAATGACGTTCGACGCTCGCTAAACGTCGCAGTCAATTACAATCTTCGATTTTAATTAAAGCCGTGGCGTTACGTATGGGGCTGCGGTTTGCCATCCACAAATCCATCCGCGACAGTGAAACGTCAACGGAACAAGGATCCTGATTGTTCGTACCTCCCGCCGCGCATCTAGGACTCGCGCACTCCAAGTCCCGAGACGCTCATGATGAATGCACTTAATAAATACTCAGTCCCGCTTCAGCTCGTATACTCCGTTCGGTCCATCTTACGTATTTCGGGTGTATGTAATTAATGTCCCTCCCTCCCTCCCCCTCTCTCTCTCTCTCTCTCTCTCTCTCTCCTCTTCGCATCATTCAGGGTTTGCACATAATCACCGTGATGCACCATCGACGTACGAGTTACATTGCTCCGCAATCACACGCCGAACGATTACCGGCACGCAATGCAGCAATCGCGCCGACGATATGATCGACGATCTCATCCTTGACCGCTTATCAAACGATGCGTACCAAAAAAGCCGGGCGAACTGAGATAACTTTGCGGTATTGTATTAGATATTCGAGTAGAAAGGACGAGAAAGTTGGCAGTAGCATTCTTGTAAGAGAGTCTAAAGTCCGGAAAAATTTGACCCGATTGGAACAAGCCACCTTTCCGCGATAATGTGCCCGTTATAAATTCGTACTTCCAGTCGGCAGTATGGAATAAGCTCGCGTACAATTCGGAAAGACTCGGTCCAGACTGGAATAACCGCCGTTGTTATCCTATCACCGGCGATAATCTATTTTGCTTACGGAGACACTCGAATCTCAGCAATCGGCAGTACGAGTCTGATATAACGTCAACGGTACATCTAAAAATTCGGAAAGTTCTTAAATCTCGCAATGATCCGTAACGGCGTACAATAGCATTACACTCGTAATATCTATCCAACGCTCGCGTAAAAATTCCTCCCCGAGGCATCTCTCGGGGATAGAAATCTCGAAAGCAATCTCGCGTTCGTGCTTCTTAAGAAGAGTTCGTGGAATATGTACTTGAAAAGGAAATCCTCTCCGCGAGATGACCACGCATGTCACGAGCGGCGAGTGAATACGTCTGCGTGATTCGTCTCGAGAGAGCGAGGTGGAAGAAGAGAAGTGAAATTGTCCCCGGACGTTCGATGAGGTTCGGCCCGGCTGTCTTCTCGATCGAATTATTTTTCTTAGTTCTAAGTAACATTCGGAACGTCGAAGTTCAGGCGCCTTTTCCGCCCGTCTCTGGCGGGACGAGAGCTAGTGTTGCACGAGTTCAGTGGAAATAGGTTTCGCTCGAGTGCCTATAGTCTCGCATTCAAACAGCATGGACAACGAATCCCTCGCACGATTTCGCCCACTCTTGCCTATTTGTGGCGAGAGCGAGTAGCTATGGCCACGAATATTCATGTAATCCATGTACCTGCTAAGTCAATCAACTAACTTCGGTACTCGCGGAATCGACTTAATGCGCGCAATCGATTTGACGAGTCCTGAAAACGGAGGGTCCGAGGAACGGATCGGAGGACGATCCGTTCGCGAAAACGTCCCCCCTCTCCCAACTTCTCGAGGCGCTTTTGCGAGATTTGCGGGACGATTTGACGCGCAATTCACGCGATCAGAGTCAATTGAGTGGTTCTCGTCATTCCCTCGCTCGTCGCCCATCGAGATCACGGCTCGCAATCGGGCAATATTTACACAGCGCTATGCTTAGAGTCGCAAGGTCCACACGATCACAGCAAGTCGTTGAAGCAACCGCCGAACCACATCACCACTATCGGCATCAGGTACGTCGTCAGCGCTCTGAACAGCGACATTTGCGGCCTGCTGTCGTCCCCGCTGTTCACGGAGAGGGTCTGGTTGCTGCTCGTACCCGTGCTGCTCGTCCCCGTGCCCTTGTGCGGCTCGATGTCCACCCGCGGCGGCGTCTCTACCTCGTGGACGATCGGCGGCGACGGCTGCTTCGGCGGTTCCGGCTCCGATTCCACGCGTGGCCCCTCGTAGCCGGAGCCCTCCTTAAAGCCGTCCTCGTCGTCGGTGAACTCACCGTCGCCCGAACCGCTGCCGGAACCGTACCACGTTTCGTCTATGAAGTCACAGGGAAGTAATCATTATTACAATAGGAAAGGGAATTGTTGTGGCGCGCGTTGACAACCGTCTGATAATTACCAGTGTCGATCCAATCGACGTCCTGCCCGTTGAACGCCGATTTCAACCTATTTGTGATAGTGGTCAGCGAGAAAATCTGGTCCCTCACGATGGTCGGTCTGTTCGACATACTGCGCACCTCCGGGTTTAGTGTCTGCGACTCGCCAGCGTTCGATAACGGGTACAGGTACCTGCAAGAATTACAAGCGAAAATAGTCGCGTGCTGTCTTGCCATGACGTTTTTTCTCCCCTCCTTCTTTCTTCATCGAGAGGAGAAAAATGAGGATTACGCGGACTGCAGCTGTAGACGACGTTATACATTTAAAACTTGCAGAGAGCTGAATCGTTCATTTGTCTATAACGAATACATTTCTTATGCCGAGTGAAATTGATTACGAATGGAATCCTGTTCTTTCTTACTTGTCCACGTGCGTGCCGTTCCAGCATTCATTCGTGTTGCTGGGTGGCACCACCAGACCCTCTTCCTGGCACAGCCGGTAGGGCAAGTAGACCCAGAATTGTCGCTGATCGCGCACCCGCTGGCGTATTTCCTTCACCAGCTTGTCCAGAATCGCGGCGGTCGAGGCGCGATCGTCTGTCAATGTTTCCTGATCGAAGTTCAGGGACTCCAGCTCCAGCTCGTGGTTGTCCCTACGTCTACGTCTACCGAGCATCGGCCGGCCGCAGCCGGTGAACACGCGCTGCGACACGTCCTGGCTACTCTCCTGGAAGTTCATGATCGCCTCGGAGATCTTGAGGTTGATCGGACGCACCAGTACCTCGATGTTGAACGGCCCGAGCAGCCGATCAGCGATCTTGTCCACTGCCTCTGCGTTTGGAAATCGAGAAGCGAATTAATTGACGCTCGAGACCGTTCCCAGCGAAACGAAGAATAGTTTGCACGGAATGTGCTCTCCCGCGAAAAATATTTCTTCTATTTCCTTCATTTCTATAAAACATTTTAAATCAGGAAAATATAGAGCACCTGTATCGATATTATTATCGTCTCACTTTTCGGAAGTATTTCCTATTCAATGAAAAATCCATTGTTCATATCTACGGCAGCGCGAGCGAAGTGCAATCATTTCAGCAAAAAACAAAATCTCGCGTAGCTTCCGAAGACTTTCGACGCGTACAACAGATTACGCGCGTCGATGGTCCGCGTTCTCTCGAGATATAATAGCCGGATACTTAGGCGAGACGGAAAGCGAGAAACGGAGAGATGGAGGAGAAATTGCTCACCAACGAACTGATTCCAGTCGTTGTCGAGTGCCGCGTGTTGCGCTAAGCAACCCTTCATCACGTTGGCACACATATCGCCGCACGCCAGCACGTTGTCCGATATACCGCTGCAGGCCGGACAGGCTGTCATCCTGGTCAAGGCAGCTGCGCAATCCGCCGACGGCTTCAGCTACGGCCAACAAAGAGTTCGCTTTAGAATCTGCGCGCGCGGTTGCGGTTGCGGAATAATGGCGTAAGAGCCACAAACGTACAGGGAAATTTAAAGAAGAATACAAGTTAAAGTAGAATAGAACAAAGTGATAAAGAATCGAAATCAAGCGAGGAAGAAGTGAAGTGGAACCAAGGCAAAATAGACAAGTATTCTGTACATTTCTGGCGATTATGTTCTAAATATTTTCTAAATTACAATTTCATATAACTTCACTTCAAACGAATACAAAGAAGAGATCGTCGGGTCAATTTGCAGCAACTTTCTTTGTTCTTAAAGCTTATTCGAAACTCGCAAAACCAATGTTTTTCTTAGACCTGAATTGCAATTTCCAATGTGCAAAATTCAATGTACAAATATTTGTTTGAGGATTGATTGGATGTCGCGTGGTTTGAGTCGAATCGAGCAATGTCAATCTGGACGGTGCCTACGTTCTCTTACCGATTGCATATTTTTCAGCACGTTCGCAGCGACGGTCAAGGCCTGGCTGAACGCCCTCGTGGCCACGAACGATCGTTTAATCTGCACGCCCAATTTCTGCGGCACGTCACCGAACGGCCGCATCTCCTTCATGTGCTCGCCCACGCAGTCCAAATACTTATTGTCAAAGTTGTACTGACTGTTGAGCACGGTGAACATTTTCTGGTAGAGAGTGTTGAAGAAATTGTCCATGGCATCGTTCAGGTCCACCTGAAACGCACAAATCAAAATTTTAATTAGACGGTAGTACACAGGAGAGAATTTTTCCTTAAAATTTACCCTGAAAGTCATGTAATCGTGGGACAATTTTAGGAGTTTTTTGAAATTTTGCCATACATTTTACTAGAATTTCAAAAAACTCAAAGATCTTCGGAATGCCACGTTGTCTCACAATTCCACGAGGGGTAAATTTTAAGAGAAAGTTGGAAATCGTACAAGAAACACATACGTACGTACGTTAAAGATACGCGCGTATTACAAAAATAAATACCCATATTTCGAATTATCTTTGTATAATCAATCTTTTTTCCAAATAATAATTTTTGATAAGAAACACTCTGCGAGGAACGACGCACGAATGCAAGTATGAGTGAGTTAAGAATCTTTTGTAAACCAAGTCCACCTCTTGGCATAAAGACTGAAGTTAAATTAACAAGGAAGACTCTGACGAAACAAAATCACGATTCTTCTACGGAGAAAACGAACGCACTTCTAACGCGACGAATATATTACGAGTGAAATTATTAATTGCACCTGTGTATTTATATAAATTTAATTCTGATGTAAAACTGCTGTCTCGGTATTGTCACGCAGGCGATAATTCGGTTCATTTGGTCGGCGATTATTCAAGAGATAGCGCGCGCTTTTTCGATTTACCATGGTAAACGGCCGTCGCAGCTTCAGACAAATTACGCCTGGACCCGATCATAATTCGGATTAATCGAAAGCCGACAACTGAGACACCGAGCCCGGCGGCTCACTGGAATATTAATGGGTTCGCAGCGATTACTCGCGAAATTAGAATACAAGAGCGCCCGCTAAGAACTCGGCTTCGATCTCGTGTACCGCGCGGGGGAATAAAAGGAAGAGAGGAACAGAAGGACAAATCGGCTATATTTATTCCGTGGGTGCTCTCGTCGACGAAACACGCCTTTAACGTCATCGGTTAATCTAATTACACACTCATTCCTCGAATCTTGGAACAAAATATGAGTCACGCTCATTTCGAGCATTTAGCGGATGGTCGCGTGCGTTTTTTTTTTTCAACGTCGAGGACAGTCCACGAACTTTTCTCGCGAGTTTCTACTGTCGGAAGATTAATAGGATTGCTTTACAAAATTCTAGTTTCAGAGGCACGACGAGCGCAGTAAAGTTGCACGACACAGCAGCGAACCAAATTTAATATACAATATACAGGGTGTCCCATTTTAACTTGGACAGTAAAATATCTCAAACACTAAGCCCGGCAAACAAAAGTGTTTCAGACAAAAGTTACATGGTTTCGACGGGGACGTAAGATGGTGTCATTAATTTGACCTTGAATAGTTGCTTCATGGTCACGTGAAGGTCACCTTCAACTTTTAAAAAATGGAACCCCCTATTGTTTATTGTACTATCTTATTCTACCAATTAATATGAACAACTTTTGTCTGAAACATTTTTTCATTTGAGTACGTATATTAATATCCAAGTTAGTTTTGCCGCAAGTTTAAAGAAAATCTGTAACTTCGTCGCCCAACTACCTTAAGATAACGTTAATAATATTAATATTAATAATAAATTCAAATTGATTTTATTACGCGCTGCGACAAACTCGCACGACAGGCACGAGTACCGCCCTCCTTTCGGAGCCTCGATCCCGGGAGCGTTGAAAACGGCGCGACGCGGCGGATTAATATTCGCGATAAATTTATCAGTGACAGCATCGCGACGATAATGCATTCACGCGACCGGGGCCACTTCGCCTTCCGTCGTGTGCATGCGGAACAGGTTCCGTGCGGCGCCGGTGAATAATTCGAGAGACGATTTGAATGACAATCGACAAAGCGTCTCGTCTCTCGATCGTCGTCTTCCTCCTCCTCCTCCTCCTCCCCCCGCCCATCCTCCTTTTGACACCGCGTGACGAATTGTACGACCGTGTACCTGTCACCCGTGCGTGCCCCCTTCCAGCCAGAAGCCACTTTCAGCCCCGCAGCGGAAGCGTTGCATGTGTGCGACCCCGAGGTCCATTTCTTTTATCTCGCACGCGGGACCGTAATCCGATAGCCCGATAGTTTGCATTATTAACATTCGCCGGCCATCCGGAGTCCGAAGGCGCGACACGCGGTCCATTCTTTAAACCCGCCGCTCTCTTCGGACGATGTTTTTCCGCCCCGCGCACATCGAATGCGCTAATCCCAGGCAGCCGCTTCGCACCTCCGCCGCCCTAGACTGATCAGTTATCTCGCTGGCGACTGGTGCCCGGTGTTGCGTCCCACCGCGTCGGAAAAGTGGATCCCCGAGCCGATCGGAACTTTATTACATCTCGCGCGCTCGCCTCGGATTCTTCTCCCGTCCGTCCGCTTAATAACGCGCTTCCTGACGCGAAACAACACAACCGTGGGCGATCGTGTTTCCAAGTAAAATTAAATTCCACCCCGGGAGCAGTCCGAGGCGGGCCGCGCGCGATCGGGAGCGGGGTGGCGAGCTCGAGTAAATTCAATAGATCGCGGTGTAATTGCGGAAGCCCTTTCCGATAGGTACACGGAGAACGCGCGCGCGGGACCCTTTCGGCGACGGGGGATATTTTCGCTTCGGCGGCGGTCCCTTTATCGGGACAACGCGCCGGCGATGTCAAAAGAGCATTGATTAAATCCGCCTTCGCACGTGATTCCACCCTCCGACGACTTTCGAGCTTCGGGGGGCGCGGACCGGACATCGTGGACAAGGGGTCGTTCCCGCCGCGACAGAAGTTTAAAAGCGCTAAAGGGCGGAGCCGTGAAAGTCGACTCGCGTCGCGCGATTATCCGTCGACCGCTTGGAACGAACGCTTCACGAGGAATTCGAGGACTCGGCACGAAAAACGGATTGACTTTGTTGGACCTACCTTAAATAATAAACTCGCGAAGCTTGCAAAAAGCTCAATTCTTTTCGCCAACAGAAGAAGAAGAAGGAAATTTTCTCTTCTCTTCGAAATTCAATTCTTTTCTTCGCGAAACTAATGTCGAGTGAATAATTAAAAAAACTCCTGCGATTTAAAAACGTGACGTCTGTACGTTTAGACTTTTGCGTTAAAAATATTTCTTATTTTTTTAACGATCGCGTATCATTCGCGATACCTTTGTCGCCGATGCTGTAAGAAAAAGTGAACGGAACGTCACGTCATGTCGTTGTGTTCCGTACGAATCGATCTTGAGAGAGACATATCCGAGCCGGGCGAACGCGTGGAAGGGGATATAAATTTTTTCCCCTTTGAAGATCCAGATACCGTGACATCTGTCGAATTACAGCAAGTTCCGATAACGGCACCGCCTTTACGTCGCTCCGTTTCAAGTGGCGAGTTACAGAGAGAGCAAGAGAGAGAGAGAGAGAGAGAGAGAGAGAGAGAGAGAGAGAGAGAGAGAATTCTCGTTGCCCCTCACGCAACTACACGCGCCGGCGGTACTTTCCAAGGACATATCGCGCCCTTACATCTCCCGCACTCGCGTCTCGTGGCTCCCTTACATCTCTCGCTCGCTGATATTCCGAGAGGAAGGTGTCGCCGGGCGTAATTGCGCGGAAAACGGCTTGCAATAAACTTTAGATCCCGAGACGCGCGGCTCGGCAACACTCAGAAATTTTCTTCACGGCCCGTCGTCTTATTTATTTGCGCTTAACACCGGGGGCGAAGGACGCCCGAGGGCAGGAGCGAAGGGAGGAGGGAGGGCGGAACAAGACGGGGGAAATTAACGCGCGATTGCAATTTGCACCTCCCCCCCCCCCCCGGGGGGAGGAAACACCACCCCGCCCCTCCGCGCGACATCAAACGAGAGGTAAATGAATAGCTCGACGTTACGAGTACCATAATTCCAAATTTTCCGGTAATACGGGAAGACTCTGTCCCACTCGGAGGTGTTCCTTTTCGCCGGGGGAGAGACTGAACAGCGCGCGCAGACGCCGTTCTAACATAAATTGATCGGGATCCGACCTTATAGACGGAATTCTCAGCGAAGAGCGAAATAAATCGTAGTTGCGCCATTTTAACGTCGAGATAATCAAATTCCAGGGGGAGGAACGAGGGTAGAGGGGTAGAGGGTAGGTACTCACCGTTCCTTTCGCGTAATAATTCTCCAGCTCCTTGAAAAAGTCCGTGAAGACATACGCGTTCTGCTCGTAAAGGATACCGTAGGTCTTCTTGAACATCTCGTGAAAACCTCGTTTGCTGGCCGCCAGAAGATCCTTGAAGAAACCTGCGAGCAGATAAGAAACGTGAGTCACGCGATTCCGCCTTGTAATCGCGGCTTACAAATAAAACGAAACCCCCATATAACGCTCCATTAATCAGCCGCTGCGCAGCTCTCGCTCGTGCACTTTGATGAAATTGTCATTTAATTACACTGTCATATTTTTATTATTCGCCGTATAATCGGTAATGCGATGTAAAGAAGAGGGAACCACGAAAGAAACCCCGGGATAACTCGTCGCGAGTCGAGTTTCTCGGCGCTTTGACGCCTGTCCCGGCGGAAAATCGCGGTCGAGCGCGAAACGGGAAATTAGTCGAGATTTCAGGGTGCGAGTCGTCGTCGTCGTCGTTGTCGTTGCCGGCGACGTGGGACAGGAGGGTGTTGGCTCGTATTGCGAATTAAAAGCCCAACGAACTTGCGGCAACTACCCCAACAGTCCTCTCCGTTTCTCTCTCATCTCCCGGGAGCGACACCCCCTAACCCTCTCGCCTCGTGGATCGACGTCTGGCGCTTTTTACACCTCCGGTGGACTTGCGACAGAAAAGGGAGCAGGATTCGTCGCTAAAAGGAATTTTAATCACATTCCCCTCCCTCCCCTCCCGCCCGGCGGAAGTGACGATAAGGAGATTGTTCGTCGGTGAGCGAGGACGAGGGTGGCGGCGGTGTCGAGGCCGGAAAACGGTGCTTCTCGTTGCATCGCAAGCGCAACCGCGCTTTGTTCACCAAGAGCCGCGCGGCCGCGAGATTGAGTCAATGCCCAGCTTCTTTATTCACGTGACATTTCAATATCAATGCACGAACATGACATTCGCAGCACCGGCGGAATTTCATTATTGAATTGTTTGACAGGTTGGTGGCTCCGTTACGAGAGTGAATTTTCAGATTGCTACGTGCTCGTGTACTCTGGGAATTTTGGGGCCCACAATTAGTAGTCGAATTATTTGGATCGTTCGTAACTCTACTCTTGGGCAAAATGTTGACCGCTGTTTTTTGTAGTTAAGCAACTCAACACTTCGGTTAGTGCCTCTTAAGCGAAAATGGTCTTCGCGTTACTGAATATCGACAGAACTAATTGAGAGAATTGATTAGTGTTACTTAAAAATCTTGGATATAGACAGAGTAGCTAATTGCGATTTTTAGCTACGCGGAGTAAAATTCGTAAAAGATTAGAGTGTTACGAACAATCCAAATAATTCGATTACTAATTGTGGGCCCGAAAATGGGTTGCTGTCTTTTTTCCCAGAGTACTACACAGAAAAAAAGTGTCAGATCAACTCTTATATACTTAAATTAACGCGTTCATTGTTTTGTGTACACGCGACGATCTACAATCTTCTTAGAAGCGTTTAATAATCATTCCAACAATATTACAGTCTTGTTGATACTGAAATTGTTACTTCAAGAATACATGTAATTATTTTGACAATAAAATCATTTTAATCATCACAATCTTTGACTTGAAAATGTTATTTTCTGTCCAATTCCTTCCCATTCAAGAAAATTATTCTGAAATAATAAGTATATATTTTTTCTTGATTGAATTACTTAAAATTGCTTCATTCAGGTAAAGTTTTCTTTCTTCAACGCAATATAATCACATTTCAAGAGTTTCACGTTGAAACTAAACATATTTTCAGAACAAAAATGCTCTTTTTTTTCTGTGTATAGATGCGGATAAGCGCAGTTAGACGTTAAATATTACACTGCATCTTTCAGCGTACGAATTAAAACGTAGTATTTTACACAATTAGCGTGGAATGAAATTGAATCCCGTTGAATTTGAGATCAGAGCATTATCCATAAACGAGAACGCAACATTAATGTTAGGATCGTTTAAAATTTCCTAAAATATTGATACATTCGATCAGGGAGACGTAAATTTTGTACCGGATAAAATTGAGCCGGCATACTAATTAATACTACAAACAGCTTTTCTTTAACGAGGAGTTTCAATTGGAATTCCACGCCCGATATTTAAAATATTCATAATTTCCGAAAGCCAATATCCATCACGCGGGGACGATATCCTTGATATCACTCGCGAGACCGTGGTGTCAGCAATTAGCGCGGAAATTGGGACACGTCCCGGCTCGGCGAAGCACGTCCTCGGGTGTCTAATGATTCCGCTTAACGAAATTATTCGAAGGCCGGCACCTTCACGTCGGTCTTTCATCTTTTCCGCTGCACGTCGGCTTTTACAGCCGAAGCCCCTTTGAGGTGCCACCGTCCAACTTTAGCACCTGGTACCCACTTTAGTCGGCACTTCGCTAGATAGAAGTTCGTGCAGCCTTTACGAGAGGCACGAGTCCTCCATCGCTTATACAGAGTGCACATTCACGACAGGACATATAGATATTTATCCAGAAATGAGAATGTAACGTTAAATTCAGCATCGTTTGAAATTTCCTAAAGTATTGATACATTTAATCAGAGAGACGTAAATTTTATACTGGACAAAATTGAGCAGACATAAAAAATTACGAATAATAATCAAGCTTTTTAGTCGACATTAACCGGCCAGTGTTTTAACACAGAAAATATATTGCGAAAAATATTACCTCAGCCAGGGTTTGAACCTGGACCACCGTGCTCTCTAGGCGGGCGTCTCACCAGTTCGACCACTGAGGGCATGTGGTAATATTTGTCGCAATAACGGTACAAAGATAATATCTTCGCGTCTACTTTTCAATTTTAAACTGCGCGCCGATTCGGATTGTCGTGCACAGAACTGCCGATACGCGATTTTTAAGTATCCCTGTCCCCTTCCCCCAACATAGACGCAATTGCTAAGTCCACGTCTTCCAGAGATTGAGTGAGACACCATCTTTCAGTCGTAGGCGTAAATTCGAACACAGAAATCTCTTCAAGTTGCCAGTAATAAATAACAATAATCAAGCTTTTTAGTTGGCATTAACCGGCCAGCGTTTTAATAAAAAAATTTTATGGCGAAAAATATAGTCGGGCCTTTCTCTAGCGAAGAATTGCGATATACGTGTCCTGTCGTGGATGTGTACTCTGTCACAATAATATCATGGATTTACAAAAAACAATATATTCCTTTTTGTTAATTAAAAACAATTATGACAATAAAAAGGAACATTTACCCCCCTTTCGTCTGTCTTTCTGTCTGTTTCATCATCGTCTTCAGTTTTTCAACGTCAATTTGTCAATTTCACGAATTATCTCATCACACATGCAATATTTCCTTACAAGTCGCAGAATTTACAAGTATTCTGAGGACACTCTGCGCGTACCGGAGTCAACACGATTTTCCCCGGGGGGTTTTTTTCCGTTGAGATTCCACGAATGACGAAAGTTGGAAAGTCTCGCGAAACTCAACAGTGTAACTTATGCACTTGGGTTTCTACGACGCGATAACACGGTTTTTCGCGGCCGAAGTTTAAACCTGCCAACTGACTCTCTCGATCTCCATCGACCAGGTGGAACAACGTGGCCAAGTCGTGTAACCGGATACTTTACAGCGTTCCCATTTTTAATTTCGCCCCAAGATTTCTCGACTCCTTAGCAGACTAAAGTATCGCCGATGCTCGCTCCGACGAAAATGGAAAAGATAAAGCGGGGAAGTGGCCAAAGAGCATTGCGTAAAATTATTTAAACACACAAAGGACCGCGCGTCCCATTATGCGCGATAATATCCTCGAAGAACTTCTCTCCACGGAGCGGTTGCTCTTCGAGACACGCAGCTGGGGCGCGCACGGTAACGGATAGTGTTCGAAACGGCTTCAAGAGAGCCCCGAATAATTATCGTTCTCGACACAGGCATTCCGAGGGCATTCAGGTATTGTGCGAATTGTTAACGCTACCTACGCTAATTACGATGGCGCACTCGCGTTCAACGTTCAACTATTAATTGCAGCGCGGAGCAGACGGCGCTCTAAATGCAATCGCATCTGTTTGTGGCGCACAAATGCAGATATAGACGTCCCGGACGTTGCTTTTATCGTTATCGAGACTTAAAAACGTTTGACGGATATCGACGAGACGAAAGATAATTGGGGACGCGCATAAACAGAGTCGATGCGAGCGAGATGCAACTTGATTATAAAAGTTCGATAATTTAATCGCTAGAACGCTACCTCGAGCGAAAACAGATAGAACTCTACACGGAAAGACCGGCTAAGGCAAAACTAACTCAAATAAAAATTTAGCCTAGCGTGTAGGGAAGTCCAGGTTCAAACCCTGAGGTAATATTTTTCGCAATAAATTTTCTGTATTATTAAAATTGCCAGATACGGTCAATAAAAATCACTGATGTTGTTAATTACTGCTGGCGACTTTTAAAAATATCCTTATCGAATGAAAATGTATAAATAATGGGACATCTGCATTGTTTTGTGTTGCAACATTCACATGGAACAAATTACTGAAATTACATATCATTTTCAGGCTATAGAAGCAGTAACATGTCTAAAAAAATAAACAGAAACTAGTCTTAGGTATAAATCTCTTTGGTTTAGGATACAATATTGACCTTTGAAATGTTTGCTAAGGAAAATTGCGATTTTTGACGTTATTTGGACGGTAATGATATTTTGCGTATAAAGATAACATCAAAATGTCGCACCTCTACTAATTAGACACGTGGTAGCCATACCGGTCTCTCCGTGTACGTGGCTGTGCGAGCGATTATTGCAAATAATTTTCGTACGGGTAAAATCAAGTGAGGGAAGCAACTGAGAAGGTAAAGGAATTAAGAAAATGTGGATAAGTGACGACCTGGTTGCGCGACATGAATATGCATGCACTTGTACGCCGTTTCGTTATTAAGTTGCGTGTATTCGCAAACGTCGCGCAAACTCGGGCAAATCAAATTTCAGGCGTCCCGACCCCGGGACTCGGATATCTAAAAGGTGCATGCAAATGGGAGTATGCGGAAACACTTTGGGGAGGGTGGATACCCCGTCGGAAGCGCACGGATACAGAGGAAACGAGAGGAAACGGCGGATATCCTGACGATCCCCCTCCCCCCTCCTTCCCGCGCAATTTACGTGCGAGCGAAGGCGTGACAGATTCTCCCTATAAATCGCCGAATAACAAATCAATAAGGACGCTTTTATTTGCGGCGCGGCTTCCATCCTCGCCGCGCGGTTTCGGTAAAATATACGAGGTGCTCCGCGCCGCTCTTCTCCCCGGCCGCGTATTCCCTCGCAACCAATAGCTCCGCGGTAAAAATACCGTTTACCCTTTTTTCGCCCCCCCCCCTCCCCCCGACACGCTTTCAATTCACATCTCCAGCCAAGGAAATTCCGCTCTGCGATTAATAGGGGACGCACGTCGCGCTCGAAAGTAACCCGGACGGCAGACTCCGCCCGTTGTCGCGGCGAAAAAAGGACGTTACTCATATCTTATTTAACACACCCGCGATTACAAGAAACCCTCGTTCGGAGGAGACGTCATTTTTCCGCCATTTTCGCGCAATTTTTTTTCTTCCTCCTCCTCCGTGTGTTGACGCAATCGAGTCGATACTCTCGACAACGGCCCGCATACAGATGCCTCCTCGAGCGCGCGCACACAAGACAGCATCCGCATCAAGAGCACGCGCCCCCCCCCTCCGCTCCCTCCCCCTTGTACGACTCTTGTAAAACCCTCGTCGATGCAGCCCGCGGTTCTCCTTTAATTAGAAAAAAAAAAAGCTCGCGAGCAGAGCTCGCTCTCGGCTTGGAGGAGCGCGCGGGCCGCAGCGAGAGGTCGTCAACATCCACTCTCGCGCGGCCGCCGTTATCCCTGAAATCTCCTTTCATCCCCGCTCTTCAGCCATCCCCCTGCCCGCTCCGGGGGCCCACGCTTAAGACGAGAGCGTGCGTTCGATCGAGCATTGTGTTTCGAGCATGTCCGTTAAAAAGTTCGCCCGCGGGATCGACTAGATGTTTCACCGAGGGTGATCTTCCGAGTGACGTCCGGCCGATTAAACTGCACGCCGAGGGTGGCAGGTGAGCGGCGAGGAGAAGAAGGCACTTAACCGCCGGCAAAGGGGGGGGGCGGGGGAGGAAGAGGAGGGGTTTTACTTTGATGTTACTACTGCAAGATTCGTTTCGGTTACCCACTTTCCGAGCCCTGGTATTTTTCTCTGGTAAATTTACGCTTTATATACTCGTATAATAAAAAGCTCCGGCTCTGCAGAAGTTTCCCTGGCGATTTCCTGAGGACTCCTTCTTACACACTTAATATCTATTCCGCAATCTTACATCGTTCTTACAGAAACATCACGATCTTTCGAGAGACTTCTTCGGACGCGCAAAACGAAGAGTCTCACTTCCGTCTCGCCCTTCCGACTCCTGGAAACTCTCCCGAGTCTCTTACTATGAAATATATTGACTTTACTTCCGGTACCTGAATGCACGAGCGCGGCGCGTTACTTTCGAATAAGTGGATTAAAAGGATTTGAATAAGGCGATTAAAAAGTTTCGCCGGGTGTAAAGCGAACAAAATGCTGGCCAGGCGTGGGGAGCCGTGGGGCGGTTTACGCTGAAATTTGTATCGGGGACACGAGGGACTTGTTAATCGCCAGCGGTGAATACGAAATTTAATTTCCGCCTACTTTATCCGAAAAGATTTCCATCGGAGACAATACTCGTATCTAAAATACAGATTCTCTACTTTTGATTTAAAAATCTACATTTTGATTTAAAAAAAAAACACGCTCAAGATACGATCGATAATTTTTTAACGTTCAACCGCGCGTTTCGTGGTCCTAGAAATTCCTTCGACACTGCACCCTCAGAAAGGATTTCTCTTACCGAGACAAAAATCATTCTTGGCTCATTTATATTTCTCAGAACCTCGTTTAATATAAAAATAAGACGATATGAAAATAAAATCAATAACTCTTATTCTCTTCTATCGAATTAATAAAACTTGACTTGCTATATTGAGACAAGAGTAACTTATTTAAATGTAAGTTTCTTGCGTTTAGAATAAATTTTCCCTCCATCTTACAACACAACCACGACATTCGACAAAAGACGATACTATCATTTTAGAATTTTTCATTTAAGATTAAAATATTCCTTTCTCTATAATAAAGATGATTGTTTTAAATTTATACCTCGACAAAAGACGATATATACTATCATTTTATTCTAGATTTTAGAATTTTTCATTTAAGATTCAAATATTTTTTTCTCTATAATACATTCAAGTGTAATAGCATTGGATCCGGAAATTTTTTCTGTGGGTGTGACGGTAATAAGCGACGCAGGGAAGCTTTGTTTTCCCTCGCTGTCCTTCGTCCATTCATTCAACTTCCCGCTTCGGAAAGAGAGAAAGAGAGAGAGAGAGAGAGAGTGCGAAGCAGAAAGAGAGAAAACATATCTCGCGATATTCCCCCGGGCATTGCCACGCGCCGCGGGTTTCCCTTATCGACGAAATCGGAAAAAGACAGTGCTACTCACTGTGGAACCTGTTTCCCCGCATGGACAGGACCTGGTGCATTCTCTGGAGAGTTTCTTTGGTGGCCTTCTCGTGCTTGTCGCGTGCCCGCGCCTGCAATCTCAGTTCCATGTCGGCCGAGCAGCACACTTCGCCGCCGCTCCTCGCGCTGCCGCATATTTTAAGCTCCTTTGCTGTATGAACAAAAGAAATAAACATTAGATTGGCCTCAGTGTTCGAATTGGTGAGACGCCCGCCTAGTGTGTAGAGACGTCCAGGTTCAAAACCTGGCCAGGGTTTTGGTAATATTTTTCAAAGAGGTAATATTTTTCGCAAAAAATTTTCTGTATTATCAAAAATGCCAGATATATAGTCAAGAAAACACTGACGTTGAAAAATTGGATTAATGAAAAATACCCTGAGACGAGACGGCGAAGTGATCGATAGGATCCAGAAATTCTGCCGTCGATCGACGTATCGTTCACCGCGTAATTATTGTCTTTCTATTTTCGTTAACAAATTTGCGAAAAGATTTTTTCTCGTGTTACAGAATTATCTATCTTCGGGTTTGCTTCTTGGCTCGTAAAGTCTGAAATATTTAACTATCTAACCCTCGAACAAGTTTGCCGACCCATAGCATTGTAGATGAAAAAAATAATTACACGATAAATTAGTTAACAAAATATTACAAGCTGGTTTGTTGGTCAGGATGTATAATATGAGCAAACTAATTTCTTTTAAACATTTGATATAATTAATAAGGCTCTAATGTGAAAACACAAATACGAAGTAAAGGAGTGAGAGCCAGGACGGGACGTTAGTGTCTAAATAATTTTAATTTTAAGCTGCGAAAAGTAATACCTCAGCCAGGGTTTGCACCTGGACCTGCCTCTCGCTAAATAATTTCTTTTATACGGCGTTAAATTGAGATCGCAGCCGAACGTGATATTTATTTGAGCGCGACGAAAGAAAAATTACGTAGAACCCCCGAGCTCCTCAATCGGGAAGACTAGAAAGGGAGGACAACGGTGGGCAAAATGTTTTCAGGCTAAATACCGTGACTCGGAGTGTGTTTGAAGAAGAGAAAAGTCTCAGTGCGCGAGAAGCTCGTGGAGATTTTCGGTAAATGCAATTTAGTTTTAAGAATCTGAGGGCATCCACGTAGGTACACAAAGCGCCCAGACTCGAGGAGAACGGACGCAGAGACATTGTTTTCTCTCCTGAAAGCACATTTCCGCACGCGTTCGCGTCAACGGGTGGCAAGTCGTGAATTAAGCGCAGAAATTACTGTTTCTGTTGGAAGCAGCTCCAGTTTGCTGCCGCTACTGTTTACTCAAAATGCCGTGATTTCAATTCGCCACGGGAGCGGTTTCACTATGTTCTTTGTGTCCTTAATAACATTCTTGTTGGTAAAAATCATGACAGTAGACAACATCGAAAAATCCGCGAGCGAATTCGCAGCCAATCTATCGCGTCGACGACAAATCGGCAAATCGCGCAAATAAATCGCCGTATTTATTGCCGAGGTAGAGCGACGGGAAGGACGCTAATCGAGCGTGTCGAAGCGTTTTACAATTCACCGTGGATTCCGCGGACGGGGTGGAAATCGCCTCTGTAGGCGCGATAGAAATCGCTCGGAGGTAAGTGCCATTGTTAGGCACAAAACAGGAAACATTCCACGGGGGATTCTCCCCGTACGCCACGTCTGCCGGCTCTCCTTCGGCCTCGCGTTTCGGGGATGAGTAACGCGCGCATTTTTGGGGATGAAACGATCCGTCCAATGAAAGAGAGGGCGGCGGCCTCGCTTCCTCGAGGGCACTCGGAAATGCGGAGGGTAAATTCGGAGGCGTCGCCGCGCGGATGCTGAAAACGCACACACGCACACCTCTCTCTCCGCACGCGCCGCAGAATTACAGCTCGTAATCCTTTGCAACGCCTCGCGGAGTAATTACCGGATTCGCGTCGTCGCTTTAATCCTCTTAGTGCGCGGAAGGGCGCCCGCTACTCGTGGTTATAAAAAAAAAATTATACACGGTGAGAATAAAACTTAATTATTTTATTAAATTAAATATTCGACCCTTTTGAGCGCCAACGTGATTTCCCGGCAGTAAACTTCATTAAAATATATGGTAATTATTTAGATTAACACACCCACCTCCAATAACCTTGGGCTTGACATATATTATAGAGGTCACCCTCCTGAGTAACCCTCAGAAGGATTTAGCCGGCGCTCGTTGTTTATTAAAAAGTTATTAA